TTTGTTGTAGCACATTAATTATCTCATAGCTTCTATTTAGGCTGCAGCTGTTGCTATTATGTTAATAATATTTTTTATCACCACTGTATACAACAGGTTATGGAAATAATAGAAATATCTCTCTTTTTTTGGCTTCCCCCCTGTCGTTTCCATTTTTCTATGTCAGAAGGGAAGACTGCAAGAAATTTAGGCAAATTAAGCCCCAAAGCACACTATAATTTTCTATTTCTGAACCGATCTGTAAGAGAATGGGTAACTGAAATTAGCAAAGAATCACCCCACACAAAGATGGCGCGTGCAGAATTTGTGAAAGCGAAAAAGAAGACGAAGGAGAAGCAAAAGAGGGACGGAACACTGCGGTGCTGGGGTGGTGAGTGTTTGGATGGGGGCGGGGAAAATGCTGCAGTTTTCATGAAATAATAAGGTGGGGGAAAAGAGCCATACAAAGAGTAGGTTTTTCATTGTTTGTAAAATATAAACACAGATGAATTCTGTCTTTGGTTTGTTCATGCTTTTCACTCTGCACAGCAGGGATGTTCTTAAGAAGTTGCCCTCTGCGAAATTTCACTAAATGGGAACCGTGGACCCTGCATGATGGGATTATAATCACACCAGCCACTCCTTTTACATAATTTTTTGTTTAAGATCCAGTAAGATTCCCTGTTTTTAATATATATAAAGCAATAGACATGTATATGTCGATAAACTGAGAGTTTGCGTCCCCATAGCCCAGAGCAGGCTAAAACAAAAAACCGGTGATATCACATCTACAAATCTCAATGGATTCAAAAACAATATGAAAATTTTTAGCTGACAAGAACATGTCCGCTGCCTGCAGTCCCTGCAATAGCTCACCATGTTGCCTACTAACCGAAAGATCAAAAATTATCGATTTCATGGCGCTGCGTGCTCTGGAAAGAAAAGCTACTTTAAAATTTGCATTATTTAAGAAATGAGTTAAAAGAAAAGAAACGTTTTTTTTTCCTGAACACTTTGGAATGTGAAAATGGCTTGTTTTAATCTTATCCATGATTTACTATAATTCTATTATTTTTAGCAGCTGGAGTCCAGAAATGATTTTTTTCGATGAATTTAGGATTTTGCCGCAGTATACATCTGCAGTCCCAGAATCCTCCGGTAAGTTAATCCTTCTTGCGATGGGAAACGCCTTTAACCTTCTTGTGAATGAGATATCTGCAACCATTTTGAAAATTTTAATAGAGGAGTGTGTGTGTGTGTGTGTGTGTGTGTGTGTGTGTTGGGGCGGGGGGGAGTATGTCTCCAAAGCGTGATTTCTTTGCAATGCAGCCGTATTTGTGTTAATTCTTATAAACATTGAGAAACATATACCTCTGTGTTCTTTGAATATCATGGATGATGTCTCCATTGCTTTTCCTTCACACTTTCTATGGTGGCCATTAAATGTGCTTCCTTAGTATGGCAAGGACTGTTGTGTCAAGCCAAGGAAGGCCTCGAAAACACGTAACTCCAAGCAGGAAGCCTGTTCCTGGCATAAGTGAAGCCGCCATGATCATAGCTACCACTGCCGCTGCCTCGGCCACCACCATGGCCATTGCCTCCCACCACCTTCACCACCCCTCCCTCGCTCTGCAGTGCACACCAGATGCAAGCTTTCCACAGGGGCTCTCCGCCCAAATTTGCCCAGTGGGTTCCTAGATTACTTCTGTGAGCGAGAATAGCCAACCATGTAGGCTGACAAGAGGTATTTACAACTACTTAGCCTGTTCAGCTGGAAAGAAATCAAAAGATAACACTGAACCCTGAGATGAGGTATTGCAAATCAAAAGTCCCAATCCATAAATAGCCCACTTGATGAGCCGCTAAATGAAAAGCTGATCTGATTTTTTGTGCAATGTTTTCACTTTGTCAGAAAGAAATATTTTTAACAGACCTTCTTAGAGAAATTGGGACTTATTTTTTCTAAGTGCATGGAATGTTATTAGTCTTACCTTTCTGCTGGGTGAGGTTTCTTCCCAAGGAGATTCCGATATAGAGTCCAGATGAGACCACACCCTCATCTCATGGCTCTTATTTTTACTGTCTGTTTACTTTTAAGTCGGATTGATTAACAGCTACAATTATACATTAATTTAAGGGACCTCATCAAAAGAAGCCAGTCACTCGTTTCCCTCTCTCTAAAGGAAGCTCATTGTTTTAGTGCTCAATAAATGTTTAATTAATGGATTTGATAGTTAACTATCCAAAAAGTGAACAGGCCTTCTTTACAGTGCCGACTTGATTAATGTTTCTTTTGAAAGCGCGCAAACAATCTGGGCATTTATTTATTTGCCTAAAGGTGATTCAAAAGCATGTGTTTTAGTGAAGGGGCGCTTTACATTCAGGTTCCATGTAGTCACTGCTGATATGCCAATGGTCTTAATATCATGACAAGTAATACTTCCTCTGTTAAACCAGCTGGAGACACTTGGGGTTTCTAGGCACAGAGCCTGAAATTTAGAACCATTTGTCTTTTGCAGTTTTTTTGTTTGTTTGCTTGTTTGCTTGTTTGTTTAATGCCATCTTTTGCACTAACGTGGATTAATTTATGTCAAACCCAAATGGCCGGCTCTAGAAAAAAAAGGTGTAAAAAAATAACCAAGTGTTTTTTATGAAACATACTGCCCGAGGTCAGTTTTGAAAAATCATTTTTACAAAACCACTTATTTCACCAGCTCATCAGGTATTTTGATGCTTGTATTTCTCCTTGGTTTAATGGTAGCATTTGTCTTCATTTCTCAGAAGTTATTCATGTCATATTTTTGGTGAGACAACTGGAACAATTTCTGTTGTTTGAGAGAAGAAATAAGGAAATTCTGAGCAATCTGTTAAATTCAACAAAAATTTTTTTTAATGCTAGTCACCCAGGAAGTCTTCAGTACACTTAAATTTGATGGGAAAAACAGCTTAGTGCATTGTTGCGAATTTTACATTTCCTTTAATAACATTGTGTTTGCTTAAAGCATTAGCAGGGATTTAAAAATCTTAATTCCAAATTTAGATTAAGATATCTAAATTACAGAAAATGCTTCAATTTTATTTTGGCATCTGAATAAAGAAATACAAACGTAGAAGACTTTTTATCCTTTAGATGTTCAAATGGTGCAAATGTCTTAACCAGTTTTAACAGTGTCTTACTGAGGAAAGAAAAACAAAAACAAAAACACCACAAAAACTGAATATAGAAAAAGGAGACATCCTTAAGAAATTCCTCAAATATTGATTAATCAGTCATCTGATCTTAAATGTGACTCTAATCAAATCAACTGTATATTCTTTAATACTATATATGAGGATTAAAATTGGGGGTCAGTGCCTGGAAACGCTATTTACACTTTTGAGTTTATATGGGAAATACTGCTTTGATGAAATAACTTTTTCGGTATAATGTGTTTGAATTCTGACTAGCAGAGTTAATCACCACCATTGGCTTATTTAATTCTACAGAATTACTAGCAAAGATACAAATGAGGAAGTAACCCTAGACAATGGATCTCACCGAACATCATTTTAGTGTGTATACTTTTTCGACTGGTATAGTCATAGCAGTTAAACGTTACCACTGTACGTAGTAAAATATCTTTAAGACGGGGGGCGGGGAACCCACAATTATCTAAAGAACATGTTGGCCCTGAAGCATTAGCTTGCCTAAAACTACATATTCTACTCCATGAGTGAATAGTGAATAAGCAGGTTTCCTGCTCTTACCTATGTATAAAGACCTATTGTTTGCATGCATTAATTATACGGATAAAAGCCTCAAGACAACTTTCACTGTTGCTTTTTGCACTCTCCATTGTTTTGGAGGAAAAATAAGCATAAAACAATAGAGAAACTGAATCAATCATAATTGTTTCAGCTTTGACAAATAAATGCCAATCTTGACGGATGACAATCGAAACATTTCCAAGGGAAATGGAGACCTTCAGCCTACTAAGACGAATTAAAAAATGTTTTTGAGGAATGGAAAATTAATTTAAAAAAATCACAAGCTGCCTAATTGATAATTCCTTCCATAAACAACATAATCGATTTCTCAAGAAAGTATTACCTTAGAAATGCATTTCCTCCAAAGAAACATCCCCACAAATAAATCTGATAGTTAGTAGCACTGTACAACCAGGTAAAAATGTAATCTATAAGAATTAACCTAATGGACAGGGCTCTAGAGCTAATCCATTTCCATCAGTCATTTGTTCACAGTGCGTACTCCTGAGGACTTGTTGAATTGCGCACCAGGCGCCCATTCTAAGAGAGTTCACAGCCTTCGGGAGTGGGGATCGCAGGCGGCCCGGCCCGGCGGTTCACTTCCAGATTCAGGCTGAGCACCCGGTCGGGATGCGGGATCCACGACCCGGACAGTGGGGGGCTTTGGAGCGGTGTGCGGCTCGCCCGCGAGCCAGGTCCTGCGGGGAGTGCGAGGCCCAGACCGCAACGACCGCGGAAGCCCTAACCCGCCGGAGTTCCCCGACCCGACAGCGGGGCGGCTGCGGCGCCCAACAGCGCCCGGAGCGGGCGGGCCCCGACCTCAGCTCCCGCGCCACCGCTTCCCCTCCCCAGCGCCCCCGCCCGAGAGGGCCGGGGCCGAGAGGCCGCCGCCCGCAGGCAGCGGGAAGCGCGGCAAGCCCGCGTCCGCTCTCACGGCCGGGACCCGCACGGGGCGGGGGCGCCGGGCTCCGGACAGTGGAGGCTCAGGGTGGCGCCCTCCCTCAACCCCCTGGCCTGCGACCGCCCGGGCCTCCCCGCCTCGGACCACGGCACCCTCGCGGGCCGCCCCGCAGAGCGGCGCGGCGGGATACCCTCCAGGCTCTCCCCCGAGGAGCGGCCGGGGAGCGAGCGGGCGCCCCGCCCCTGCCCGGGGCTGTCGGACAGCGGCAGTCGCCGGCGGCGCGGGGACTACTTTTCGCCGCTCGTCCGCGCCCCGCCCCTTGTCCTCGCACGGCGGAACGCTCCGCGCTGCGCCGGTGGCGGCAGGATACAGAGGCCACTGCGCGACTTATAAGAGCTCCTTGTGCGGCGCCATTTTAAGCCTCTCGGTCTGTGGCAGCTGCGCTAGCGCGGCCCTAGAAACAGAGAGCGAGGGGAGGCGGAGACGAGGAAGGTCCGAGGAGCAGCTCCAGTCCCCGCCGAGCCGCCACCGCAGGCCGAGGACGGTCGGACTCCAGCGGCGGGAGGAGCCTGTTCCCCTGAGGTGCTTGGGCACTCCTTTCCTTACCCTTCCGGGGCTGCCCCCGCTCCCTCTTCGGAGCCAAACTTAGTCGCGGGCGCGCGGTGCCGGCGGCGGCTGGGAGCCGGGCCCGGCGCGGCGCGGAGGCCCGGGGTGGGGAGCGGGGGGTGCGGGCTGGGGGCGCCGAGGAGGCGGCGGGGGCGGGCCGCGCCCGGGGGGCGGAGGGCGGCGGCCGGGCCCGGGTTCCGGTCGCGCTGCTTCTCGGGGCCCCGGGGGCGCCGCTGGCGGGGAGGGGGCGACGCGAGGGCGCGTCCAGGAGCTCGATGGCTGGCGGGGGCAGGCGCGGGGGAGGCTGTGGTTTCCGTCCGGGACTCCGGCCGCGGCCGAGTTTGGGGGAGGGACCCTGCGCCTCGGGATGCTCCGGGCCGGAGTGGGGGGCGGGGTGGGGTGGGGACGGGGGTGGGGGGCTCCGCCTTCCCAGCCCCAGCGGGGAGTTGGGGTACGGACGCTGGGCCTGGGACGCCACCCAGGTCCCATCTGCCGGGTCGATAGGGCCAGTAGACTTTGTTCAGATTTCCTCTTTCGTTCTTAAGGACAAATTAAGAGAATTCTTAAGAGAATTGTTTTTTGTTTTTTATGCCACGCTTATGTGAGTTTGGCACTGGCGCTTGTTTAGACCCAAGCAACTTTAAACCTTAGAGGAACCAAACTACTAGTGCAGACGGTGCGATGCGTCAGTAGGGTTTGCACATATAAATCCGTGTGCTGCACCTATATTTTCTTGTACCGTGCAGGTGAGTGAAAGCGGCATGCAACGTACCGGGAGTCTTTTGGATTTATGGCGGTGGGTGTGAGACCCTAGTAAAAATAGGGGCGGGGGCCAGGGCGACTGGCTTACTGTTTCTTATCAAGTGAACGGCGGGATTCAGCTCCTGAGTGCTTCGAGAACCTTGCTGGGAGAAATGATTTATTCAAATACTTTTATGGCAGCTAAACATGATTTTTAGAGCACGTTTTCTTTTCATCAGAGTGAATTGTTCCCTCGCTACGAAATTGACCAAATAATTGCAACTTCTTTCAGTGTTTTGTCTAGGGGGAGGATTTTGAACAGAGACTTTGAAAGTTCTCAAAGCCTGCTTCTGAATCCGCGAAACTTAAAAGCTTTGGCAGTTGGGTGTAGTTGTTTCCTTCGTTTTCTGTTCCCTTTTGGAGGGAGCATTGTCTCCATACTTTCTATCTTCCAGACATCTGTGGTCTCCCCTCCCCCCTGAGTTTGTGAGTGGTGAATGAAGAGAGACTGGCCTGCTGGTATGCAGAGGTCGGCAAAAGGAAATCGAGGAGTGGTTTTAGTGAAATGAGAGCTTTGTATCATGAATAGTGGTGGCTTAGACTAGACATCAACTTGAAGAGACGGCTATCCTTTGATAAAGTCTAGGCTAATGTTTTTCAGATCGCTGAAGTTATAACGTATTTTGTGTGGAATTTAGGAAGCCATTTCAGTATTGTCAGTTGGTAAACATTCAGGACCTTTAGATATCTTCGTGTTAACTTGTCTTCATCCTACAAAATAGTAGACATAGCTTGAAATGTCTTTACATAACGCTACCGTTAACTATCTGCTTAAATTAGTGACATAAACTTTTACTTTGGAGACTGTTTTGGGCCTGAGCAACTGAGGCTGCTGCAGTATTTATTTTACTTTCACATTCTCTAGATTTAAACAAAAACCATTAAGGTTTACTGGAGAATATCGTTTCTCAAAATTTGCTTAATTTGCACCCAGTATTCATTACTTTGACCCAGTCTTTGTTCTGAAGGCCATGTACAAGGACAAGGCCCTAAAGTGATTGCAACAGTAACTTGAAAAACTTGCAGAAGACTATTCTATAGGATTAAAGGAATGCTGAGACTATTCAGGCCTGTAGTCCTTGAGGGGGAAAAAATGCACTAGGAAGTTTAGTATAGCGTGCAACTTAGAGTCCTTGTGGAGTCCTAAGCTTGAGACTCTCCCAGAGGCTGGAACATTTTAAATAGCTTTCAGGGAAAACTATGTTTTTAAAATAAGGCGGTTAATAAAAAAGTAAAACATTTACCAGTGTTCAAGTGTCAAGTATTCAAGAGTTTTCTTTCTTTTGAACTAATTGTTATTAGTTATCCTTTGCCAAGATTATTATGTAGAGTAAATGTATATTCCAATATTAAAACTCATCAAACTGAATTGAGCTTCGTACTGTTACTAATCATGACTAGAATAAAAATTGTTCATATATATGAAGTTTTTTTTGTGTGCTTGTTTTCATAGATACTTCCCTCCCCAAATAGGAAGGGAAGACATGAAGTAGGTAAATTTCTCAAAGGGTATTTTAAGATGTAGCACTTACAAAAACTATGTGCAGATACCCTTTTTTGTTGTTGGGAGGGTGGGAAGAGGAGCATAAATATTGTTGAAACTAGGGATGTGGATAATTCAAAAGTTTGAATGTCTTTTTTATAGTTGTAAGTAGCAGTGAAATTATAACCCCCCAAAATGGACTATCTATATTCAGCCAGATGAAACTTTTGTGTTACTCAAATGAAAGAAAATGTCCAGTTACGACATGATTTTGTTTTTCTTTCATAGTTTACTAGTTGTTGATAATAATTGCAGATGAGTAGGTGGTAAATTTTAAGTTTGTACTTTGAGCTTGGTTGGAAGTATGCTTGATTGCTAACCCAGGGTGGAAGGGGTGAATGCTTTTTGTGTAGGACAAACTTCTAATTAAAAGTATTACAACTCTTGTGTAGTGCTTCATATTAACTTGTGACCTTGTTTTTGAAAACATTAGTTGTATTAAGTTTTTCTTGCAGCTCTCTTCTTGTTGGGAATATATCTTTTGTTGAAATAGCTTGACTAAAAACATTTTTATACCATAAAAGTAAATAGTAAACATAGACAAGGCACTATTTCGTGATTATTCTAGAGCATGTAGCTGTTGCCTCCTGTGCCCTCAAATAGAGGATACTGATTTGCAGAATCAGTTCTCATTCTTTAACAGACCATTGTTCATGTAATACGTTCTAATTGTGTGATAGATAACTAGGCTAATAGGCTAAAATAAGTATATACTTCTCAGGCTCCATGAAGAGAAAATATGTGATTTGTGTTGCTTGAAAATGAGTAGGAATTAACTCGTATAGTTTTTCATCATTTAAACTCAGGAGAAAGTTCTTTATTTCCTCTGTTTACTTAGGAATGCTGCTTGTGTTTTTGTGTTTCATGCAAGACAGAGCTTGACTTAGTTTGAAACCTAGATCCTTTGAGGCCTGAACCCTGTTATCCTTAAAAGTATGTATAAAATCTACTTTCCCTAAAGAAAGATGCTCTTGTAACAGAGAAAGTCAGCTACATTAGGAACCCTTTTTTTAAAGTTTTACTGCCTTTTTGAATTTGTTAATTGTGGGCATCTTTTTTTTTTTTTTTTTTACAATTTTATTTATTTGACAGAAAGACAGCAAGAGAGAGGGAACACAAGCAGGGGGGAGTGGGAGAGGGAGAAGCAGGCTTCCTGCTTTGCAGGGAGCCCGATGTGGGGCTCCATCCCAGGACCTTGGGATCATGACCTGAGCCGAAGGCAGACACTTAACGACTGAGCCACCCAGGCGCCCCTCATCTCTTCTTTTAAGAGACGTTCCCCACCCCCAGAGTCTCCCTCAAACCCGATGCAGCTACAGAGTGAGAGTAGTGTTAGGGCATGTTTTCATTCCATGCTTTGGTCATGTTGAGTGCCCTCCAGTGGATATAATGTAATGCTTGTGATTTTTTCCCCCCAGCAAGTTTGTGTGGAATATATTTTTGAACGGTTCTGATGAGAAAGCATCAATCAAGAAACCTTTTGAATTCTAGAATAATTTATTCATATCAATAGTGATCATTAAAAGATTGGCTTGAGAAAATGTCATCTCAACCAATATTTGTAGGAGAAAGATCAAAGTTAAATTAGGGATTACATTTAATGTAAGCCACTTTAAGTAGGTTAAATATATCATGATGATAAAACCAAAAACTCACTCTAAGAATTTGGGGGTGAGGGATCATGTGTTTAGCTGTCCTAATGAATTACAGAAACTAAAGTTCTCAGAAAAAGTTAATCAGATTGTCAGTGTGTCTCAAATAAAGTACACAGTAAAACATGAGTAAGTGCTCAACTGAGTTATATTATCAAGGAGTATGTCTGTGTTCGGAACTAGATAGAAACAAAACTAGCTCGGTCAGTGTATATGAACTCTAGACTATAATGCCCTGGTTACTATAGGCTCTCATTGTATAAGGTTGTGGGTGGTGATGTATTATGCCAATATTTTGCCCTTTAAATTTTTCAATAAAAACCTTTCTCCCTGCTCCTGTAGTAAAGGTCTTATGTTTCTATTAGTAACATTTTTTTATGAATATACTTGTTTCAGTTTGAATTCTGATTAGTAACAAGAATGAAGTGTATTCTCAATTAACTTTTGGAAGTCAAATGTTAATTTTATGGAAAATTAATTAGTTCAGACAAACTTTAAAATGTTGCCTGTTTTCCATAATGGGTGGTTGAAATGAAATCGAAAAGTTGACAGTAGGGGAGGAAAATGACAGTATCACTGCTCCATTTTGCTCTTGGAATTCAAGTAATTTTTTGAAAACATTGATAATGATTTTTGACTAAGAAATACTGTTAAGAGTTTTTTTTTTTTTTTAAACACAAAAAGAATGCCTTGTTTTTATACAAATGGTTATTCAGAATGGATTTTTTTTCCCCCCACAATGGATCATTTTTGGAATTAGTAATGTTCAAGTAGATTCTTAGTATTTGCATCATTTATTGTCTCTTAAGGCTGAATAGCAGCTGTTCCAGTTTTCCAAAATTTTTACAAGATAGGAGAGTGGATTTGAAAGTTCTTCTAAAAAGTATGTGCATACAGCTTACAGAAAAATTCTGTTAGGGACTTAATTTATCTCTGAAATTGGCTGCTTGTCTTTATTATTGTAACATAAACATTTTGAC